CTGAAACATGTAGGGCTCTCAGCTCCTTCTCCAGCACCAAGTCCCACCATGACGATAATGTACTAAGTCTCTGAATTGTAAGTGAGCCACCCAGTTAAATGTTTTCCTTTGTAAGAATTGTAGACATACAGGCCCGGTGGTGGCCTGTAGAGGTAGACGGGCCCAGGCAGCAGCGACAGGCAGAGGCAGGTAGGCCCGTGGCAGCAGCCAGCAAAGACATGCAGGCCCAGCAGTGGCTGGCAGGGACATAAAGACCCAGCAGCGGCCGGCAGAGGTAGACAGGCACCTCAGCAGCGACAAGCAGAGGCAGGTAGGCCCACGGCGGTAGCCTGCAGAGACATACAGGCCTGGCAGTGGCACACAGAGGTAGACAGGCCTGGCAGCGGCAGCTGACTGGGACATACAGAACCAGCTACAGCCCGCATAGGTAGATGGGCCCAGCAGCAGCAGCCGACAGGGATGTACAGGCTGGGCGGCCGCTGGCAGAGACATACAGGCCCAGCATCAGAGACATACAGGCCCGGCGGCGGCGGCCCACAGAGGTAGACGGACCTGGCAGCTGCGGCAAACAGGGTCATACAAGCCCGGCGGCAGCAGGGAGAGACATACAGGCCCGGCAGCGGTGGCCTGCAGAGGTAGATAAGCCCGGCAGCAGCGACAAGCAGAGGCAGGGACGCCTCTAACCCCAACACCTGGGGAAGAAGCTATCTCCTTGGACAGAACCAGAACCAATCTGAACACTCCTTCTGAGAACCAATCTGAACACTCCTTCTGAGGACAACCCAGGGCCCAGGTGCTGATCCTGCAAAACCCAACGACTTGGAGGTGTTGGTGAGACTACCCCACTCAGCTGAAGTCCATCCGGGAGAGGATTCAGATCCATACAGTTTGAAGTCTGAAGAAACAAGATCAGCTGAGGAGTTGACAAATGAACAAAACGTGACCTGGGAACACAAAAGAAGGCGCTACCCAGTCACCAAACCAGATCACAGGAATCATAAGTATATAATTCACTGACTGAGATCAGCTACCCCTGAAGAAAAAGCCCAATACCACCAATTTAACCAAGAACTCCTACTGAACCAAAACTAAAAATTAGAACAAGGGAGGCACTCTCAGACACAGACACCACCTGCACCGAGCAGGGGAAGAGATGAGTAGACGCCAGTGCAAAAATACAGGCAACAACATAAAGACCTATATGGCAACATCAGAAC